TCTCTCACCATTGTCACAACAGACTGAGTCCTCTGCAGGCACCTTCCACTCTGACACATGTCACACCCGTTGCTGAGTGGCCAGGCCACACAGGACGGGCTCAGGGGGCTGAGCACCCTCCAGCAGCACCCCCCCCAACCCCCACCCAGGGGTCATTCCCTGTGCCCCCTGGGGAAAGAAATGTACAAGTTGTACACAGCCCTGGGAATGAGAAAAGCTGGCTAGCCCTACCGCCCGGTCAATGTGCCTTGCTCCTTGCGGGGTGGGGTGAGCGGCGTATATTAACGAACCATTTGGCTGAAAACCAGCCTGTACTTCGGGTGCTCTTCCTGGAGTTTTCCAGAATTTTCCACCTTCAGTCACCTCTTGCACTAAGACTCTTAGCTGGATAGCAGACGGCTCCAGGAGCCAGGCCTCAGGCGCAGAATTCTCCCACGGATGATCTTTAATCCTCAAGGGGCCCCGAGTCACGGGGGAGTAACTGCCCGTGGACACCTCCGCTCAGGCCCCTGGAGGGGCAGGCCGGCGCGGCGGCGCGCTCCCCACACCTGGGTGCTCTTCCCCACGATGCCTGCCATGCCCTTCAGCCCCCTCGCCCAAGTCAGCTGCTTCGATCTGAGCTCAATATAAGGATTAGCTTTTTAAAGCCAAAGCAGCCACCTCTCTCTTACAGGCCACACTGCGAAGCCCTCGGGGCAGGGGGGACACGACGTCCAGGGACCTGCGTTCTGGCCGAGCATCAAGGATGGATCCCAGGGAAGCAAAAACCTGAGATTGTACATACTGCGGGAAACAGAGGCCAAAGCCCCGAACCCCGAAAATCCCTAGGTCCCTCACCTCTGCAGAACCGCGCAGAACACACCTGTGCCAATCTGCTATTTTATCTTATTTCTCTTGTGCAAGCCAGGTGACCCCCACTGTGACCTTGGGGGCACAAGAGACAGGGACCGACCGCCCTCATGTCTTTCCCATCTGTGTATTTCCAGCACTTGCCTGGTGCCTGGAACATAAGTAGCTAATAAATGCTGGTTCAACAGAAATCAAAGCAATCTAAACCAACAACAAAACCTGAGGAAACAACAAAACCGCAGGCTTCCCAGGGATACGTTGGCTTCCAATAAGGAAAGAGAGTGTGGCTTCGGGGAAGGGGACACACCAATGGCTCCTGAGACTGGCCAGCGCTCCAGACCAGCTCCATGACCCCTCTCTGTACCTCAGCGTTCCCGCATTAAAATGAAAGAGCAGAACAAAATGATTCCGAAGAACATGTTCAGCTCTTAGAGTGGGGACAAAATAGGTCCTGGTGAGGTCACCATGTTTCCTCCTTGCCACAGGTGTCATTCGGGAATCTCCACAGATGACACGGCAGCTGTCAGGTTTCAGGGCCCTGGGCTGGGAACTGCTGGAGACTGACGCAGCTCAGAGGCTCCGCGCATGCAGGGCGCGTGCAGGGCGCGAGGGCACAGGGTGGCGCAGGGCTGGCTGCCAGGCCAGGGGGCGCCTGGGGGGCTGAAGATGGAGCTGGAGGCAAAAGCAAGTGAGGTGGGGGCTGTCTGCCCCGAGAAAGGCGTTCATGACGCCAAGTGCCGTATGCAGAACTCTAAGCCTCTCACTTTGCAGAGAGTGAAACAGACCCAGAGGCAAGTTTCAAAGAACTGGCCCTGGGAAGGGAACCGAGGCGCTCCCTGGGGCCCGGCGTTGGGCTCCTGCGCGCAGATCAGAGCAGGAGCCGCTGATCCTTGGATTCACAAGGGGGTCCCGCATGGGTTCCCCAACTGAACAAAGTATACGTAAGTCTTCTTCTAGGATTCTCTGTGCGCCGGCCAGCTCTTCCTGGCCTGTCCTGTGCGTGTGCATGTATGCACATATGACTTGCTGGGAAGCAGCGTAAGGTCAAGATGACCAGTGGATTTCATTTTCTAATTCCTTGGTTGCTTTTTATAGTGTGCGAGGGGCCTGGGGCGAGGGTTAAGGTTTTGATCTCATAAGGCAAAATCCTGTCCAAATATAACTCCTTTGAGTCAGCAGCTGCTACCCTGCAAAGGACTCAAGCAAGGTTAACTGACCAGGAGACTCAGAGAGGCCCCTTCCAGGGCGGCTGCCGATCGCTTGCTTCCAAGTGATATCTTGGTCTGCGGGTGGGGGCAGGGGGGGACTGCTTGGTAGAGGCGGGAGACTGAGACCTACCTGGCACAAAGCCCCACATACACCCTGAGGCTCCATGGCCCCTCACTGCTGCCGCCCCATCCCTAGGAGACCAAAGGTTTCCACCATCCGACTCCATGGAGGTCCCCAACATCTGGAGGGGCGCTCAGCAGTCCAGCCAGGGGAATGCCCAGCCTGTTTCTCCAAGAGGGAACACAGCCCTGAGGTCGGTGAGGAGGCAGCTTAGGAAGAGGCTGGTGAAGAGCTTCTAGGAACAGAATCTACGCCCACTAAAGAAATCCTCTGCCATCGCTGGGAGCCCTCCCTGTCCTCTTAGCCCCACGCTCAAGGCAGGTCCTGAGGCCGGCCAGCCAGTGAGCTCTGGGGAAGGTGCTGCTCTGCCCAGGCCCTGGCCTTGCCCCAGGGGTAAAGCCTGAACACCAAATGCAGGTCTAGCAAAATGCAAGCACAGCCATTTCCAGGCCCCTGAGATTGTTCAAAGGCTGGGGAAGAGGACCCCCTACTCCTTCTGTCATTTATTTACCCAATCAAAAACTCTGTGCTGCAATTCCTTTCCCCCTTACACATATATGTACACACACATTCACACAATTCTATGTAACATTTTTTCTACACAACGTAGGTAGTAGTAATGATCCCATTTCACAGATATGGAAACTGAGAATCTGAGACGCTAAAACATTAAGTCTCATGCCCAAAGTCAGAGGAAGAGATGGGACAGAGAGAGGGCGACCCCGGAGAGGCAGAGAAGGAGAGACTGGATGAGCCCCGCCCACACTTTACTCCCAGATCTGGACAGAGGCGGGGGACGTGGAATGGTGAACTCGGGCCCTTATTTTCAGCCAACCGCGGATTTCAAAAATAGCCATGGTGCCCCGGCGTTTGGGGACAGGAAAGGGAAGTGAAAGGAGGTGCCAAGAATGAAATGACCCCAGGCTCCCTGCCGCTGGCGCCCCTTCCCCACCGCTCAGCCAAGAGCCAATTTCCACAGCAGCCGGCAGGGGGCAGTGCACCGTGTCTTTTCCGAACCTCCAGGGCGCTCTCCCGCAGCTCCGGGAAAAGAAAACCAGGAGGCTCTGCCAACAGCTTCTAGGAATGGACCGGCTTTGAGCCCAGCATGTAGTAGGTGCTCAAGGCAGGTCCAGAAGCTGAAAGTGCTTGGCTAGGTAAATTAATGTGTATTCAACAGTTGAAATGGGGCAGAGAAGGAGAGAAGGGGATGGACAAGCCCCTGCCAGCGTCTTCCATCTTAGAGGTCTTTGCGAACAGCATTTGTACCTACTACGTGCCAGGCGCAGCAGTGACGACTGGACAACCACTATCCCCGCTTATCTCATTTTCCCCGCTGGAGAGAACCGGCCTCCCCGCCACGGGCACACACGCACACAGCCGCAGAGCACGGGTCGGCACTCGCTGTCTCCCTGGGGGAACCATCTCGGCACAAATCCGCTGAGCGTGGGAACCCACAACGAGGATGAGCCAAAAGAAGCGAGGGGTCCTCGGAGGTGGCCACACGTAAGCCAGGAGGATGCCTGATGCGGCGGCCCGGTGAGGAGGTCACTGCCCTCAGGGTCAAGGCTGTCTCCCTCTGCGGGACACGGAAAGCCCGCGAGACGCAGGGACTCGCCCAGCCCCCATCCACTCTCACACTTCTGGGCGCGCACGTGTGTACTCGTGGAGCGCCCGCACCAAGCCTGGCGCGTGGTCGGTGCCAGCCGGGGCCCTTGGGTGGGAGGGAGGAGAGACTCAGGGCTCCAGACAAGAAACAGAGTCGAAAGGATCCTTACACCCTTCACGGAGACCAGGCCACGCTCTTAGATGAAGGCGCGCCCCGGCTTATCTGTGCCAAGCCGCGGAGCAGCCACTTCCCCCACCTCAAGTTCCGCGCCGCTTCCTCCCTCAAGGTCATGCTCAAACACACTCACGCTTAGTAAAAAGAGGTGAAAGTTGCGCCACCGTCCCAGTTCTGAATGTGGCTCTCGCCCCTTCCGGGGACGCTCTGTCCCGGGGTCACAGTTTCCCGCCCCCTTGCGTTCTGCGAAGGAGCGGCCCCTGCCCGGAGCAGGTCACGCGTCAGGGAGACGCAAACAAGTTGGTAACTTTTGTCAAATTATTTCGCCGCAGCTGCGGCGCCTAACGGGGTTAGGGAGGACTCAGAGTTTTGAGTTGCCACCATCGCCACCCCCGCCACTCTCCGCTTCGCCCACCCCAGTCCCTCACTGCCCACCACGCCACGTCCAGATGCCCCTTCCCTGGCGCCAAGTTCTCCACCGTATCTCGTGAAACGTGGGCCGTTGGAGTCCCCGGGGGCGATGGCCACCTCCCGGATCTGCGCCTGCTCGCAGCGGATTTGGTAGCCGGACCCGGATACTGTCCCGCGACCGCTGGACTGGATCACCGCCCGAGCTCCACTGCTGCTGGTGTGTCCTCCCACTCGCGTTCCCGATCCGGGATATTCCAGCCCAGCTCCGAGTGCAGTGTCACTGGGGACACCCCAGAAACCGCTGCCCGGGACCTGGCGTAGGCTCCCGCTGAGATTCCCGGCATCTCTCGCAGTGAAAACTGAAGCCTCCTGAGCCCCAGCCTCCTCCCAAAGATCCCGGTGATGCCGGGGCGAGGGAAGGGTCGCCCTACGTGTATCTCTCTCCCGGCGCCCGGGGTCTTCGATCCCACTTCCACTGTCACACCCTCCTAGGCCCCTCCCCACCACTCTGTTCCCGGTCGGAGCAATCACCCCTCCACTCGGAGAACACACACGAAACTGCTCGAGCCCCAACTCCGCGGACGCAGTCCCTGCGCACCCCGGCAGCGGTCGGCTCCGCGCGCTCACTCACCGCGGCGGGGGACACGCTGGAATTTCCGGGGATTTGGGGAAGAGGGGCTTCGGAGAGTGTCCCAAACACTCGCCCCCTTCCCAGCTCACATCTCCCCTTCCTTCTCTCTCTCCTCCTCTTCCTCCTCTTCCTCCTCCCTCTGGTCTTTGTCTTTGCAAAGTGTCGAAACTGTCTGGCATAGTGGAGCTCCGCCGGCGGGGGCTGGAGCCGAGGAGGCGGGGAGAGGCTGGGAGCGGTCTCGGGAACACCTTCCCCCGGGTGTAACGGGAGGGGCAGGCCGGGCGGCCGAGACCCGAAGCCGGGGCGCCACAGCGGGGCGGGCGCCTGGGCCGCGCGGCCCTCCCCTTCCTCCGCCCAGCGCCCGCCCCTCGGCCCCGCGCTGCCCCTCCCCCGCGGCCCTCTCCCACCCGCGCTCCGCTCGGCTTGCCCCGGGCTCGGGGCTCCCTGCGAGCCGAATATAGAGCTCCAGGGCCACGTGGACCGAAGCCGGCTCGGCCGAGGCCCGGCCGGGGAGACGCCGGAGTCGGCCCGGGGACCTAGTCGCCGCCCCGAGAGGGGCGCTGTGGGGACAGCTCCGCTCCACCTCGCGCCGAGGCCGCCGCCCGCAAACCTGCAAGGCTAGGGAAGGGCGTCCAGGTGGCGCAGGGCCTGGTGGGGTCAGCCCCAGGGAGGAGGCGACGGGCGCCCACCACCAAGAGGACGTGGAGATGCCCCGAGGAGCCCCAGTCGGGTGCAAGGTAGCTAGAAAGGGCCGATCCCCCTGCTGGCGACTGTGCAGGGCCACCACTCGCTCTGGGACGCGGGACTTGAGGTGGGATTTAAGGGGGAGTAGGGGAGGATCGCGGCGCTGCTGGGGGGCTGATGAGGTCCACTTGGGTCCACCCCAGTTGAGGGCCACTGAGTGGCCACCGCTGCCGGTCCGCACCCAGGCTCGCCTGCCTGCCTTTTTTACATCCTCCGGGATTCGGAAGCTGCAGCGTGGTGGAGAGCAAGGGGACCCCAGGCAGGGGCTGGCCCCAAGGTGGCCTGGGGCTGGGGCTTCTAGGACCAGACCCTCTTGGGTGCAGTTTTGAGGATTTTTTCGCCCTCCCTCCTTTACAGGGAAGTAGGGAAATGGGAGACATCTTGCCCAATGGCAAAATGCCAGTCTGAGAGGCTAAATGCTGGACACAAGATTTAACAGGCACTAAAAAAAAATCTGGTGGTACAGGTCTTGTCCTCTGTACTGGACTTCATGCCTTTCGCAACTTTTCTGAGAAATGCTAAGAGGAAAGAGGCGCCACTTGGCCTGAGGGTCAGTAATGCTTGCAGCTTCTCCGGCCCGGGGAAAGAGTCCGGCTTTTGCAGTGGACACAGGGACAGAGCTCTCTAGGCCTCGTTCACCGCGGAGACGCTGTAGCCCACAGCTTCAGGCCGGGGCTGTGGATCAGACTCCTGGGTGCAAATACTGCGCTGCCACTCACCGGTCGCGGGGTGTCAGGCTGGTTGCAGAGCCCCTCCACGCACTCAGCTGTGTGCTTGAGTTTTCCCGCGTATGTGGAAATGGCCCTTCCATAAGGCTGTTGTGATGATTACGGGAATCCATACACATCAGACCCTTAAAGCTGTACCTAGGATATAGTAAGCGCTCAATGAAAGTGAGCTGTGTTTGTGACGGACTTCTCAGTGCCAGGTCCCTGCCGGCACGGTAGAGACGGCCCGCCCTGGCCATGGGGCGGGGCGTGCTTGGGAACACTTAGGGGCCTGGGGGGAAAAAAGGAGCGTCCTCCCAGAAGGGAGAGGGGGAAGAGAGACGGGTTTTAGAGGGGGTGGGGAGGACTAACGTGGCCCGGGGGTGGGGGGGTGGGGAGGCCAAACAATAAAACAAAAAGCATGTGAATCTGTAAAAATTCTTCAAGGACTCCTACTGCCAAGTACCTAGGGGGCTTGGGAGCGGGCCAAGTCTGCTGCCCTCTGTGAGTCTGAGAGAAAAGTTTGGGCTGTTTCATGACCCTGATGGTTTTTATTTTGATTCAAGGTGAGGGTGGGGGCCCTTTGGTCTCCGTAGAAGCATCCCGTGGACTTTGCTCTCCCTGACAGGTCAGGCAGGCTGTTCCACGCACTGGGCCTTCTCCAAAACGGTTTCGTGGCAGGGAGGAGGGGAGCAGGGGGTGTCCGGAGCATCAGCCACTGTTCTCGCCCAGGCCGTCTCTTCCAACTGCTCCTACCCAGGACCTCTCAGGCTCAGCACCTGGACATGTGGCTCGGGGCATCTCTCAGCTCCGCGCCATCCTCGAACGACAAGAGCGGTCACCCTGCCGCCCTCAGGGACGGCTGCCCGCAGCGCCCTGTTGCTTTGCATGGGGAAACAGCCGGTGTGTTTGCCTTCTGATTTGACTCAACTTGCTGTGGACAGGAACTATGTCGTGTCCTGCTCCCTGCTGATGGCAGCACGTGTCTCATGCCTGTCTCATGGTCGGTGCTCAATAAAGGGCTCCTGGATGAATTAATAAAGAAGTGTTGTTTATTGCAAGGGTCAGATAATAAAACGTACGGGAAAGCACTGAAAAAATACGGTAGAAAATGCTATAGTAACCAAAGCCTGTACTCCTATCCTGGTAGCATCCGGAGAGGATCAGACGAGGCAAGTCAGTGGCCCCAGGTTACCAGCTGTTCCGCTTTGCCGCCAAGGACCAGCCAGCCTCTCCCTTCAAGCCCATGGGCCTTGGCAGTTCCCCTCAGTGACTCCACAGTGAGGGGGAGGCCTTATTGAGTGACTCTGTGGTGAGACACACATACATCACCACGGTGTCTATATCAAGACACATCTCTCAGACACATCTTTTCCCTGGTGTCTGATGGGCTTTCTCTCACCCTCTTCCTGTTATGGTGCCTGTCTTAGGAGGTAGCAGAGAGGGTCTGTCCCCTTCTCCCTTTTATTCCAGAGTTGTAACATTCCGGATAAACAGGACTTATGGTGCCCTGGCCCGTCCTCGGGAGCCCAGATCCGGGGCTCTGTGTTGGGACGTGCACGCGTGAGCACTGCTCCTCGTCATCTGGAGGACGTCCCCCAACATGCACCGCTGGAAGATGGCTGGTATTAGTCATTCCTGGGGGTGTCTGCACACCGAGTTCCTTCGGGGAGCCCCGACATTGATTTACCGGTCACCATCCCCCCTTGTTTTCAGAGCAACAGCAGAGCTCTCAGTAACAATGGTTGAAGAAATTGATCTCATCCCCCACCCCCGCCCCTGGCACATCGTAGTGGAAAGATCCTAATGGGTTCTGATGCCATCTGGGTGATTGTGCAGAAAAGCAAAGTGCTGCCTTGCTTGTCAAAGGCGCGCTCCGAGCTGCCGGCGAGTGGTGTTTTGTGTGTTGGACGGTGTGTTTCTTCGGGCTCTCGGGGCTGTGAGGCCCTCGCCCACCCCTCCTTATATAAAAAGAGGTAACGGGGGAATGTGCAGGCTCATGCTGAAAGTGGGAAGCTGGAAGGAGAGAGACAGCCCGTTTCTCTGGCTCTGGCTCTCCCTGGCTCCCTTCTCCCCACCCCCAACTCCCCTGCCAGATCAGCTCTCTCCCCGCCCAAACGCATTCTCAGCTGAGCCCTGGGGTCAGCCCTAGAAGTTGTTGGCATGTCTGCCGCCCGGACCCCTCTGCACCTTGGCAATCCTTTCGGCTTCACTCCCCGTGGAGTGTCCGCTCTGGGTTTTAGTTTTTCTAGAAGAGGAATCTGATTGGCAGGCCTCCCCAGGTCGGGGGCCAACAAGCCCGGTAAACAGGTGGAGGAGAGCCATGTGATGGTGGATTTCGCATTGCAGAGAGTAGGGCACAACCCCGAAGCCCAGCGCCAGTGGAGAATGCTGGGGCGCCGGAGTCAGCAAGCGGATCCCTGCGCGCGGCACCGTTCGCATGCGTTAGGCCCAGCGGCCTGCCAGCCAGCTGACCAGCCTTGGTCAGTCCTGACCGCCTTGATCTCTTTGCCAGAATTTGGCTCAGGAATGAATAGATGTCATCTCCCTTGAGATCAACAAGACAAAGAGAGAGATATACTTGGGTTTTCTAGGAAAGAATTTCTTAACAGTAAGCCCTGAGGAACTTCTTATTTCCAGCTGCACATAAACCAGAAGGTCTGGTCTTTTAATTCCCCTTCCCCCCTCTCCTTCCCCTCTGACAACCATCAGCTTGTTCTCTATGTCTATGGGTCCGTTTTTTGTTTCATTTTGTTTATTCGGTTGTATGTATATGTGTGTTTTAGATTGCAGGTGTATGTGAAATCATACAGTATTCATCTTTCTCTGACTTATTTCACTGAGCATCATACCCCCTCGGTCCATCTATGATGTTACAAATGGCACGATTTCATTCTGTTTTGTGGCTGGGTGATGTTCCATTGTATACCTGTACCCCATCTTCTTTATCCACTCATCTATCGAGGAACACCTAGGTTGCTTGCATATCTTAGCTGTTCTAAGTAATGCCGCAGTGAACATAGGGGCGCCTCTGTCTTTGTGAATTAGCGTTTTTGTTATCATCAGGTAAATACCCAGAAGTGGAGTTGACTCAGCCCAGATGCTCTGGCTAAGTTACATGTTGTTATGTCCTGGAAATTGGCATACAGAGCCTGCTGCAGTTCGAGGCGGCCAGACTCGTAAAGGACCACGGCTTCCCAACATCCTTGCCACATGGTCCATCTTCCCAGAGGTGCCAGCTGACTAGTGCTGCCGTAGCAAATGACCACAAAGCAGTGGCCAAAAGCAGCGGAAACGAGGAACATGGGAACTTACACGGGCCAAAACCACAAACTAATATTTGAAGAGCAGGTCTGTCCCCTTCTCCCTTTTATAATGGTGTTGTAACATTCTGGGAAAATAGCACTTGCCTGTCCTGCCCTGCCTGTCACATCTGGGTCCTGCACGCAACACCAGTCCTTCTGGAAAGCACACTCACACAAGCGCCCGCCAGAGGCAGCGGCCATCTTTGATGGCAAGTCAAGGCTGAGCGTCATGGGGTTAAAAGACACGGCGCACCTTTGCTTCCTGAAGCCACCCCTAAGATGTGGAATCAATGCCGGCAGCAACTTTCCTGGATCTCTGGTTTGGGGAGAGAAAACGTGCAGCGGCCCTCACCCCTATCTCTTTAAGGGACCCTAGTGAGTTATTCTGTCGCGTGCAACCCGGCACGACCCTGACCGGCCCTGAGTGGAAGTTGCCCCCGGCCCCGGGAAGGAAAAAGGCACAAGTACCATTTTCATGTGTCGCATTTCATTTTTTTGTGAGACATTCAGCTGCAGCTGGTTCTGGTTACCAGTCCTGCACACGAAACCACGCCCCAGAATGAGAGGTAGAAAGCGCAGCTACGGCCTTCCG